GATGCTCACCCTGTCTCCACTCCTTCAAAAAATCATTATAAACCCACTTCTTCATAAAAGCATATCAATTAAACTGTTAATAGCTTCCGACTCTCTTGCAACTGTCATTAGTCTAATACTATCCTTACCTTTTGTGTCACTTTACCCCACTCCTAGCATGTAAGCTCATTGAGCAGGACCCTCAACCCCCCTGTTCCTGTGTGTCCAACTTGTCTGGTTACAACTACATGTTTGTTCCTCCACCCACTGTAAAGCGCTACGGAATTTGTTGGAGCTATATAAATAATAACATAATAATAACATAATATTAAAAAGAGAGAGGGGGTGGAACAGCACTACAAAAACTGATCACAAGAATAAGGGAGGCTGCACTCCTGAAGGGTAACCCTCAAACACTTTAAAAAACTGAAAGAACAGAACAAGAGATACAGGGTGCGCCAAATAAAACAAATAAATAACTCAAACAACAATATAAAAATACAAAAGGTACCAGATATAAGCAATAGAAAGTCTTTTTGTCACACAAGTCATCAAGTGTTCAAATTACGTCTATGGTGTAGTTCAAAACATCAGAAGCATTTGAAAAAGAGCAAAAACAGAGGGAACCAATAGTGCAATATTGTAGGTAAATTGACTACAGACCACACTGAAGTAAAAAATGCCAACTCCTTTAGAGCTATGACCAGCTCCAGGTAAAACAGCGTGCAGTGGTATTACCACTTGTTTGATATCCGTCAGTAGTTGCAGTGTAGGTCATATACAATAAAAGAGAGGGAGAAGGCCCATAGTGCTCTCTATATGAGTAAGTACATGAGGTAATAGGAGATATACTTACAAGTTTAAGAGCAGACAAACTGTTTTGTGTGCCAATTGTGGGTGGAACAATCTCCACCTAGGATTCTTTAGATGATGGATCTGATGTTTCAGATGATGGAATATGCCAGGTATAAATAAAATAATAAAAGTATAGAGACTGACCCAGGAATATAGGTAGTCAAAAAGATTACTTTTATTTAACAAGATATAAAAACAACGTGTTTTGCCCTATTAGGCTTTTTCAAGTGGAATAAAACAAACACATGGCAGCTTAGATTTATATAGGTATCTAAATGACACAATTTTGGATTTTGGTGCCAAAATGACGTCATAATTATATGACCGCGATCACATGACTTTGCTTAATACAATACACATAGGTTATTGTTACAATCTCAGAAATAGTGCTCGTTTTTTATAAGATAAAAACCTTTGGATAATGAATTATACGTTGTATATTATTTATTCTGCTAAAAATGTCAAAATCTACATTTAAGCCTTTTGGTACTAATGTATTTAAATTAAAAACCCATTCCATTTCATTTCTGCCTAAAATCTATTTTATATCACCTCCTCTCCATGAGATTGCACATATTTCTATACCTGTAAACTTGCATTTTTTTGATGATGTGTTGAAAAATGTTTAGAAACAGTATGGTTCTCATATCCTTTTTTGATGTTATGGCAGTGCTCCGATATTCTTATTGTTAGGTTTCTAGATGGCATGCCTATGTATTGAAGGCCACAAGGGCACTCCAATAGGTAGATAACATTCTTGGTATTATATGTTATGAAATTCTTTATATTATAGGTTTTATTGGTGACATTCGACTTGAATTGAGTTATTTTATTCAGGACTGACCCCTGTGTGGTTTTACAGACAACACATTTTCTACATTTAAAAAAAAACTTTGGTTGACTTGTTTTTGGTAACATTTTTGGCGAGAAGCGATTTAAAATTGGGAACACCTCTAAAAATGAAATTAGGTTTTTCAGGAATGGTCTCATTAAAAACATCATCTTGTTGTAAGATATGCCAGTATTTTTTGATAATTTTTTTGATATCTCTATTTTTGTTCTAATCGAATATAATTGGAATGGATGGAGTGGTCTTTTTGTTGGTACTTTAATCTCTATATATGAGAAGGCTGTCTCTTTCATTAGATTTTACTTTTGTAATTGATTTTTCTTCTGAATAGTTTTTTCTAAAAATGCGTTTTTTTAAAACTACACTCAGTGGTTAAAATAATAGCCTTGTCATTTGTGTTAAGATGTTCTAAAAATTAGATAAGAGAGCTTTTGGAACCATTCCAGATAAAAAAATAAATCGTCGATGTAGTCTAAATATGAGACCATGTTTGTTCGTCTTTTTGTTGGAACTTTAATCTCTATATATGAGAAGGCTGTCTCTTTCATTCGATTTTACTTTTGTAATTGATTTTTCTTCTGAATAGTTTTTTTCTAAAAATGCGTTTTTTTAAATTACGGTTTGTTCTTCAACATCTTCTGGTTTAGAGCAATTTCTTTTTCATCTGAAAAACTGGCTTTTGGGAGCACTTTCAAGCCAGGGGGTATAGTGACAACATTTTTGATCAATCACGGTATTTATGCATACCTTTTTAATAAAAGTCTTAGTATTAACAATACCTTCTTTGATAAAAATCTTAAGATCTAAAAAATTCTTCTTTACTACATTCAGTGGTTAAAATAATAGCCTTGTCATTTGTGTTAAGATGTTCTAAAAATTAGATAAGAGAGCTTTTGGAACCATTCCAGATAAAAAAATATATCGTCGATGTAGTCTAAATATGAGACCATGTTTGCCCGCCAGACCAAATCATGGTCTCTCCAAATGGCATCAGTTTCCCAATCAGCCATAAATAAGTTGGCACAACTGGGGGCAAACTTAGTCTCCATCGCTGTGCCTCTTGTTTTGATCCATCAGGAAATAAACAAAGAAGGCAGGTATCATATACTAATTTGCTAAATCAATAACCATAATTATACCATTGCCGATATCTATGCTTCTAACCATTCCCCCAATAGGCTTATTAGAAAGCTATTTGCTAAACTAGAAAGAAGAGGGCAAGGGAGGATCATTAATCTAGGAGATGTAAACTGTATTCTAGACCTGGTACTAGATAGGAATAGTCTAAAAGGCAAAGGAGATGAAAATTACACTAGGGGCTTGTCTAGGACCTTCAACGACATTCTGAGGAAGAGTGGTATGTATTATTTAGGGCGGATATGGCACCCTCAAGAAAGGGATTATACTTGCTTCTCTTGTGTACAATTCTCTTGTGTACTATTCAAGATTAGATTATTTTATAGCTGAAGCATATACAACGAAAAGAGTAAAACATTTTTTTATTATTAACATCCCCATGGTTAGATCATAATGCGGTCATAATGCTAATTAAAGACGATTTTATTAAAGATAGATCAAACTGGAACTTGAACGAGAGACTCTTACAAAACATGCCAAATCTAGGTCTAATTAAAGATTACTGATCTTTTTTTTAAAGAGAATGCTAGTAAAATTTGGTGTGCGTACAAATGTACGGTTAGAGGACATTTAATTAAATTAGGTTATCAGGAAAAAAAGAAAGTCAATGAATATAGCTGAATTATATATAGAGCTAGACCGACTAGAGAAAATAAATAAGGCTGCTTTGTCACTGGAAACATTTAACAAACTCAAGATTGTCAAAGAAAAAATCAATGATAAGCTAAAAAGCTAATTTATCCCTATAGAACTTAAAAAGGACATGGTACTATAAAGGGAATAAGGCAGCAGACTAAAGAACAAAAAAGCTAGGATAGTAATTTCTAAAAGTATCCAAGGAAATAGTACCATACTTGCTCCATCAAAAATAGGCCACGCATTCCAGGAATTTCATTTTAACCTATATAATTTACCAGAGCGGGATCACCCTGTAAGGGTTTTTACCAAATATAAGGTTCCTAAGATCTTTAAAGACCAATTAAATCAATTGAATAAACCTATTTCTCTGACTGAGGTTAGTACCGTTATTAGAAAACTCAAAGCATACAAATCCCCAGGCCCTCATGGCTTTAGCAATTGTTTTTATAGACTAATGAATGAAAACCTAGAGGGAGTTCTCCTCAATATGTTTTATATTTAATTGCTATAGAACCTTTAGCAGTAGCAATACGAGCCAAGGATCAAATCAAAGGGCTGCAAGTTTTAGATGCTTGTGTTAAGCTAACTATGAATGCAGATAACGTAGTACTCACGCTTAGTGAACCGATGAACTCTATGAGAAAATTGATACCTTTCATGGAGGAATTATCTATACTTTCTGGCTATAAACTGAATTTTGATAAGTCGGTCGCACTGCCGCTCAATTTGACTCAGCATGTCGTTGAAGGCCTGACGCAGGGTTTTGTTTTTTGTGCCAGGGAATCATTTAGCTGTCTGAGGTGGAGATCGCCTGTGATCCATTTAAAATAACGGAGCTCAACTTCATACCATTGCTAAGAGAAACCTGCAGAAAAAATTAAGGTATGGAGGAATATTGAGATTTCATGGTGGGGAAGAATCAACACGGTGAGATCATATGTTCTCCCCAAGTG